TGCCCGATAAGCTTGTGTCACCGCAGCGTCATGTGCTCAAAAATGGAGGCGCGGCACTTTAACATCACTGGCAATCCACTGCAGCTGGATTAACGTGTAGTGTAGATAATAACAATAGAAATAATAGTAATACAGTAATTGAAGCCATATTAATCGGTAGTAGATGTCAAAACTGCTTTGACATCTACTCTCACTGCAATGCTTGCATGTGCACTGCAGGGCGGACTTCTGCTAAAAAGGGCTTGAGCTCGAGGTGCACCTTTGGTGCGCGGCGAAACATGTGCTTCGATGACCTGATGGTTTCACGAAGGGCTTGGTGCAACTGAATGCTGGATTTTGTCACTGGGGATTCTTTCTTTCGTGGAACCAGCTGCTATGGCCTTCAGCTGTACATAGGGGCGCTTAAGCTATGCAGTCATGTCATCTCGAAGCTGCTTGGTGCGCTTCGTCAGGCCGTCGGCCCACATGAGGGTCGTGGGGCACCAGAAAATGGTGCCGGAGTCGATGAACTCCTGAATTGACCTGATGTCAACATAGGTCCTCTTCTCTGTCGTGCGCGGGTTTTCCGCGGAAACCGCGTCGAACAGGCTTTTGCAGTCCGTCACTTGCAGCTGCCGCAGCTTCCACTTCTCGGGGTCCCGGTGAAAGGCGGTGCCGGTGAGGAGCTCCGAGAGGACCAAGGAGACATAGTGGGCTCGTCGACGCAGTCGTCACATGCTATCGACTCTGCAGCTAGCGTCGATCTGCAGACCCGGCTTGATCGATTGGAGCGCCAATCGACTATGTTGCCTTTGGTGACGACCTGAGTGCAGTGAGGCGTCGTGAGGAGCACGATACATCCCTGTTGAGATGCGCACTGAGCTGCATTTGCCCACGAGCTGTCGGCATATCCGACGATGGTTGTGGCACGGTGGATTGCCACGTCTTGGAAGGTGAGGCCATCGTCGGCGTGCTCCCTCGCATAGTCCAGGGTGGAGTAGAGCTGAGCAAGCTCTGCCGGCCCTGTGTCTTTGCCTTTGTTGGCCAGTGAGACCCATGCGGCCAGTTCTGGCCTTGTCTGGCCTGCGAGCCATTGGATGGACCGCGTCAGGGATCGGAACTCGGTTTGTTCCTCCATGGAGAGGGGTGGTCCCTCCTGGATGCGTCCTTTGCGGACTTGGCCTGGCTCGCTGTTGGCGATGAACTGCTTCTGGGTGACCTTGAGGTGGTACTTGTCATCAGCTTTGACAAGTGACAGCTCTTTCCCTTTGAAGGTGAGGCTCTGCTCGGTGGTGAGCTCTGCTGAGCTTCCCCAAGTGAACTGGTGGAGGTCGGACTTGTCGTAGTCCTGGCGGCTGGCCATGAGCACGTCGTCGACATAGACGATGGCGATTGCCATCAGGTGTGCTCCATCTTTTGAGCGCTTGTAGAAAGGCTGTGTTGGAGGTAGCCGGTGGACAAAAATCTCCTTGAGACTTCTTTGTACCATGTTTTCGGAGCTGAAGCTAGCCCATACACGTTTCCACGAATGCGGTAGAGGGCTGCAGGGAAACTTTGTGCCCGGCGTGTGATCTCGTCTTGTGGTGGAAGGAGGTACAGGTCACTGGGACGTTCAGTCATGTCTTGTTGTCCCTGGAGGAAGGCGGTTGACACGTCCCCGCACCACAATGACCATGTCGTCGGGTCATTCTCCATGAGCTGGTTGCGGCCTGCAATGTAGATGGCCAGAAGGATGCATTCAGAGGTGCGGCTTGGTGTCGGTGCATCCCTGCTGACGCTTGCCAAGTCAGGGTCAAGGTGACCCAAGGCCACGACCCTTGTCTTTGCGACCAGCTGGGTCGGGTCTTTTGCTCTGGCTTTGAGGATCCTGCGCCTGGTTGCAGGATTTGCCATGATCTGCGCCGCAAGCTCTGGTTCGATGGCTTCGATGGTCGATTTGGTCTTTGGGCAGCTTCACGATCTGCCGCCAAGGAATTTCCCGCTCGAGGGCCTTTGCTTCCTTGCGGGTGAGGACTTTCTTCTTCATGACCTGGATCTTGTCTTCTGGGCCCGATGAAGCGGCATCTGATTCACTCTGGAGAGTCGTGAGGTCGGTCTCCAGAACATCATATCCTTCCATCTGGAGGATCTTGGTGGCAGCTTTGGCGAACAGCACGGAATGGGTCTGAGTGATCACAGTGTCTGGTGATCCATCCCAGCTCCAGCGTGGTGGCTCAATGCGGCCATGGGCGTCATTCAGCATGGCCTCAAAGGGCCTCTTCATTGGCAGGGTAGGCATGATGCTGCCTGATGGTTCTGTGTCTGTCTGTGGCGCCTGCTGTGGTGGTGCAGCAGGTGCTTGCTGTGCTGTTGCTGCGCTGTCTGTACCATCGTAGACTGTCGTTGGAGGTGACGCGTCAGGTGGTACTGGTATCACCTCAGGTGCTTCGGGTGTCTCTGGAACAGGTGGTAGTGGTGGCCACCTTGGTACCGGTGGTTCCGGCACTTGCTCAACGCCGTGAGGCGTTGATGTGCTGCTTGAGGCTGTTGATCCGGATGAAGTACTTGAGGCTTGTGGAACCGGTAGTGCCCGTGGTGGTGCCCGGTTGGATGGGGTTCGGGGTCGTGCCTGTTTTGTGAGCCCGAACCTGTTTGGGTTGCAGTCAGTGTCCAATGTCCTGCCTCTGGGTGGCGGTGTGCGACTTGTGAGTCGTGCCCGGTTGGACACTCTTGTATTGACGTGAGTGGGTGAGTAGATGTTGATGTTGTGCTGAGTAGTGTTGTGTGATGTTGCTTGTGTGTTGATGGTTGTGTCCACATGAGCTTGTGCTGTGACTGTTGGTGTTGTGATGCCTGTAGTCGGTGGTGGTGCAAGAGGCTGTAGTGCCGTATCGTACCCAACTTCGGTTGGTTCATAGCTGTAGGTCTGGTGTAGCTGGTAGTCGTAGTCATCCTCGTCCTGTATAGAGGTGCTGCGGCTCGGTGGTCTTGCCACATGTCTGTGCGGATGTTTGTGGAGGCGTCGTGGAGGCATTTGATGTCTTCTCCACTGGGTTGCCATTGTTCGAATCCGTGGGCTCCACGGATCTGCTCAAGGGAGGCTTGTAGAGTCGTGGTTCCGGAGTGGAGCCATGCTGAACGACCGTCTGGGTCGTATGCCAGGAATCTTGCCACCACCCATGCCCCTCTCTTCTTCGTTGAGCGGCCTCTTGGATTCTGCCATCTCCAATAGGCACAGCTTTGGCCTGGCAACAACTCGTTGTGATGTGGAGTGGCTGTCTTGAGAAGGAGGGCTCTTCTTGGAGCCTGGCTGGTGTTGACTTCGATCATTGCTTTCATGGCCTCAGCTCGGAGGATGTCAGATCTGACTGACCCGTACTGCTCATTCTTGGTGATGAGTGCCTTGTCATCTTGAAGGAGGCCTGACCCAACTCGTGGTATTTGTCCGAACACGGCCATGTAGGGAGGTCTGCCGTGGGAGTAGGACATGGAGTTGAGCGGTGTGCAGTGCCTCATCGAAGTCGGCCTCGCTCATCACTGCTTCAGCATCTATCACCCTTGTGGGCTTCTGCCGGGATCACCTCCAGGAAGATTCCGTGGCGCTCCACGAAGTCCCTGAAGTCCATGGCATAGGTGCCGCCTGGGTCCACACGGATGCATTGAGGAAATCCGTATGGCTTGAACCAAACCCGGCGGAAGATCTCTGTCATTGTGGCCGAGGTGAGGTCTGGTAGGCGAGCGGCCTGACGCAAAGGCGTGGATTGATCCACAATGCCAACTACCGCATGGTTCTTGCCGAGCACATCTCTGCAGTAGAAAACGTCGCTCTGCAGGTTGTCATTGAACTGGCCAAGCGTAGCGGTCGACATGGAGCTGGGCCGGGGCTGATCTCGTTTTTTGCGCTCGGTTGCAGCTGGCGCACTGCATGCTCTTGACGGCTGTGATCATCTGCTTGCTGATGGCCCCTTGCCAGGCCAGCAAGCGTAGGAGTTCCTTCTCACTCGGATGTCCGAGGTTCAGGTGAAGCCGTCGGATTGCTGCCTTTGTATCGTTTGTCACATCGGCTGGGCATCCAGCGAATGTGACGGTGGAGATAGGTGAACTTGGGACCGCCTGAGGCTGCTTGGCCTCTGGTCCTTCTTGTGCTGGTTGTGGTTCAACCTTCGGTTTTGCCTCCTGGTCAGTAGTGTCAGGAATGCCGAACCAGAAGATGCCATAGGCAACGGCCTTCTTGGATCGTTGCCTGGGGAAGTGCATGCCATCCAGTGGCTCGCTTTCAACCTCAATGGATCCATCTTGAAACTCAAGGGCAGCACCTCGGTGAGTGTAGGGGATGTCCCGTGGAAGTCGTCGCACGCTTGGTGTGCGTGTCACCTGGATTCTGGTCAT